GAAGAGCGGCCGACCCCAGGCCAAGGCAGCCCCCCGTGCCTACAGGTGGGGGCACCCCTTCCCCTGGCACGTGCACAACCCCAGCGGGGCCGTGTGGCTCTACCCCTGGCCGTTCTCTGGCTTGTGTGTGGGAGGGTGTGTCTGTCTGTCCTGTCTTGGCCCTGCCTGCCTAGGGCACTCATCTCCCTGTGGGTCAGGAACTTGGTTTTGGGGGTGTTGGGGCCTGGCTCTCCGCTTTGCCCTCATCTGTCCTCCCCTCCCCTCCCATCCGGGTCCTCTTCTGCCACTTGGCCCTTCTCCATCTGTCAGTCCCTGACGGACACGCCCCCCGTTTCCTCCTCCTGGGTGCTCCAGCGTGCCAGCTCCCCCCACCCAGCTGAATGTTGCAGCTCTGGGGGGGCGCTGGGGGTGGGGAGCCCTTCCTCTTTCCACCTGGGCTTCACCCTGTTCCTCTGTTCCCTCCAGTGACCACGATGACCGCTGGGAGACGCAGGAGGCAGTGTCCGCAGCCCCTGAGCCCACACAGCCCACTACCCCTGAGGAGGCACCCACGCAGGTAGGGTGGCATGTCATCTCTGGCAGGTGGTGTGAGGATGCCCAGGGCCCACAGCCTCTCCCCGACCTGCCTTGTGTTCCTCACAGCCGCCCGAGAGCCCGGCCCCTGCCCCTGCCCATCGGCCTCCCGAGGACGAGGACGAGGACGAGGGTGAGGAGGGCGAGGGCCGGGAGGGCGAGGGCGACGACGGGGAGGCCGAGGAGTGGGAAGACATGAGTGAGGATGCGGAGGAGGAGGAGGTCGAGGAAGAAGAGGAGGCTGACGAGGAGGGAGAAGAACCAGCCCAGGACCACCGGCCCCACGAGGCTGAGCCCAGCGGGAGCCCCAGCAGGGAACGTGGCGACGAAGGGCCCGCCAGGCCGGAGGAGCCCCTGCCGCTCCCCCAGGCCCCTGCCACGCCTTCCAGCCCCTTCTCACCCACCGGGGGCCACCAGCCTGTGTCCGACTGGGGTGAAGAGATGGAGCTGAATTCTCCCCGGACCGCCCATCCGGCTGACGCCCTCTCTCCGGGTGAGGCCTGGCCTTTCGGAAATGCATGAAGCTGGCTGCTTGTGTGTGCTTGAGGGGTGCATGGGGGACCCCCAGGCTGAGCCCCAGGACCCCGTGTGTCCCACTGCCCTGGTGGCTAGGGAGGATGGGCCATGCCTGCCTCTGGAATGCCTACCCCCAGATCCTGCCCTACTGTGAGCCATTCAGAGTGTTCTCCCCAATAAAGAGTTCACTTTCTCCAATGTCCCTCCCCACGTGTGTCCTTGAACCCCCCTCTCACTCCCCAAAGGCCTTCTGTCTTGGGTGGGGGGATACTTGGAGGGGAAGGGGCTTGACTGGGCCTCCTCCTCCTCCAGGAGGTGACCAGCCAGCCCCTGCCTCCTTGAAGAGTGGGCCCAGCCTCCCAAGAACCCAGAAAGCTGAAGACGAGGGGTCTGAGGCAGCTCCAGGTCGGGGAGCGGCTGTGCCGTGGCCTTCTTCCTTCCGCTTCCTCTTGGGTTGAGGGGAAGAGGTTTTGGGGGGAGCAGAATGGGGTGGAGTGGGTCTCCGCCATGGGTGTGGGGAGCAGCTGGCCGGGTGTGGGGTGGGGTTACACTGATGGGAAAGGTGGGCGTGAAGGGGGTGGGGCTAAAGGAAGGACTTCCCCCGGGCCGAGCCGCTAGGAATTGTGTATGGGGTTTGCAGGTGAGAAGGTGGAGCCAGGATGGGATTAGGATTTAGAGGCCCATCCCAGGGGTTCTGGAAGGTAATCTAAAAATAAGGGGGTGGGCTAGGTTCAGGGGGAGGAGCTAAGGGCAGGATTAGAAATTTAAGTAGGTCAAAAAATAAGAATGGGGAGGGGCAGAGTAATAGATTTAGCTGTGGGTGGGATTAGAGTTCTGAGGTGTAAATTAGAAGTAGGTAAAATAGTGGGGTAAAAAAGTTGGGGTAAAATAGAATGTTGGGGCCAGCGGACCAGGAGCAAGAGGCCAACCCTGTCTCCACCTCCAGCAGGTGGAAGCCAGGTTGTGAACCACGGACCTCCCCTAGGAGTGGGATTAGGATTTCGGGGCAGAGCCAAGGAAGGTCTGGTTAGGACTCAGAAGGTGGGCAAGGGAAGTGAAGGGTAGGTCCTGTAGGGCAGGCGTGATAGAGGTTGGCTTAGGCCCGTGGTGGGGTGGGGCCGCGATCTGAGAGGACGGAGTTTATGGTGGTGGCTGAGGCCGGGGTGCACAAGCGCTTTGCCTTTGGGTCACGTGACTGCGATCTTGTTATATCACATTATGTATTCGATTGTAAACAGGGTACTGCTGGGGTGGGTGTTGCTGCGTGGGTCCACTCCGAGGATTAAAGGAGTCTGAGACTCGTAAACCGCTTAACGCGGGGTGGGTGGCAACCAGGCTCAGTGGGGCAGAGGGGCGGGGCTCGAGCGTCCCGGGTCCGGCGGTAGGGGTGCAGGGGTTACTGCTGCCCTCCAGTGACCACCCCTTCTCTTTCCAGAGGCGGACCCTGAAGGCCAGGAGACGGCGGAGATCACCGACTTCCAGAGGGTGCGTTTCTGCAAAGTGGTGGCGGCCGCTTCGCCACCGGGGGCCGCCCGCTGACCGCGCCCGCCGACTGTGGCCTCCGCGCTCTGCACTAACCTCCTGCCGCCTCGCTCCTCTGTCCTCTGCTTCCGCCACACTCCAGCCAGGAGAGGGTTAAATGTAAGGGGGGAGGAGCCAGGGATAGTGAACCGGGTTGGGCCAGGGCAGTAGTCCAGTCTCACAAATGGGGGGCGCTGTGGCACCGGGGTGGCTGAGACGCCCCCGAGTGACCGCCTTATGGAGGCCATGGGGGTCTAGGTGCCAGTTCCCGGGCCGTTTTCCGCCTCCAGGAGCTTACGTCTGGGGCATGGCGAATAGCCGGTGACTCCTGAAGGACTTGATTTCCTCGGCCGCCAGCCCGGTCCCTATTAAACGCAGTGCTTCCGCTAACCTTTGAACTGTGTTGCTGCCGGGGGCAGGCTGGGTTGCTGTGCTTGGCGGGCTTTTTCGTGGCGGAAGAGGCGGGAGGAAGGGGGTCTTTCTTCCTCCACCCCCCCTGATACGTCTTCCCTCCCCCCCTCCCACAGGCCTCCCCGAAATCCTGAAGACGCTGCTGGGAGGGGACTGAAGCTTCCCCGCCTTGATGGGGAGGGGGAGGCAGGAGGGGCTTAGTCTGGATCTCCGGGCTGTGCTCTCTCCTCCTCGGAGCCCACTCTGGACCCCTTGGTTTTAGAGAGGGAGAAATTGAGGGTGGTGGGGGAGGAGATGGGGAGGGGGCGTTATTGGTGCGTGGGGCGGATCTGGAGCTTCGGGTTGTGAGTTTAGACCTCAGGACACAAAGTATGGAGAAGGAGGCACGTCCCGTGAGGGGGCGTTGTTAGGGTGACTGGGTGGGGCCAAAATTCTGGTGTATGGAGTTAAACCGTGGGACGGAGGATGTTAGGATGTGGGATGGAACCACGAGAGCAGGTTTAGATGGGAATCCCTTATGCCGGTGTGGGGCGCAGCCAGCGGCGGAGGGCGTGGTTTAGAATGGGGTGCTCAAACTAGTGGAGAAAGGAGGTGAAGCCTGGACCGAAGATGGGTGAGGGTAGGGGTAGAAAAGGGTGGGATCGAATGTTGGAGTAGAGTTTAGCTTGGAGAAATGCAAGTTACAACTGGGGCGGGACTGCGGCTAAGGAAGGGCGGGACTTAAAAGGCCTGAGCTTGGCAAGGGAGTGGTGGAGCTAGATGCCTGGAAGGAGTCCGAGTTCCGAATTGGATGGGGTTAGGGCGCAGGGAGGAGGACAGAAAAGGGAGAGCGGAGCTAAGCGCCGGTACAGGTATAACATCTGCCTGGCCAGCCTGGCGGGTGTCGACCTACATTTGAGAAAAATCAAGGTATTGCGTGCTTGGGGCGGGCCCAGAGCCAGGTGGGGGCGGGGTCAGAACCCTGTGGTTAAGCCTTAGGTTGATGATGGTTGGCCGGAGGCTGAGGAGGGGGCGGGCTTACAACGCGGAGGAAGCCCGCCCGCGCGGGGGCGTGACCACGCTGGTGGGGGCGGGGTTGGACGAGGGAGTGTTAGAGCGCGAAGGCGGTCCTAAGGAGGGGGCGGGCCCAAGGGGAGGGTCCTGTGTGGGCTGTGGCGCTGGGCCGAGTGGGCTGCGGGGATGCGGGGCACGAGCTGCGTGGGTGGCGGCGGCGAGAGCCCGGGTGGCGCGGGGCTGAGCGAAGGCCCGCGGGGCCGCTGGCTGCGCCTGGCTCCTGTCTGCGCCTACTTTCTCTGCGTGTCGTTAGCTGCCGTGCTGCTCGCAGTCTATTACGGTCTCATCTGGGTTCCCACGCGGCCCCCTGCGGCCCCAGCCGGCCCGCCGCCCAGCGCGCAGTCCTCTCCCTGCGGCGCCCGCGCGGGTGCTCTACCTGCCTCGGTGCCCGCCGCTGCCTCCGTATCTTGTCTCCTGGGAGCCCCTGGCGGGCCGCGACCCCACCTCGAGCCGCCGCACAGCCGCCGCCGCCGCCGCCACAGCGACCCCAGCCGCCGCCCGAGCCGCCAGACGCCGGCGGAGACGCCGGAGGCCGGGGGGGGCGAGGACCCGGGTAACCCTCCTTTTCACCCAAGATGGACCGCCGGCCCACGAGAGCACGGCGCCCCCGCCGCGGATGCGCCGTTCCCGGATTGGGGTCTGACTCCCTCTTCATGACATCGTCTAGCGTCTCCGGAGCCGTCATCCTGAAGAATGGGGGGCGAAGAGGGGCTGGCTCTGGGCCTCGCCCCTCACAGCTTCTCCGCCGTCGGGCCGGTCCTGCACCATCTGGCCGACCGCATACTGATCTTTGCCTCCTGACTCTCCCTCTTTAGGATTCTGAGTACAGAGTCTTCAGCCCGACCCCCTTCTCCCTGAATGTCCATATCCATCTTCCACCGGCAATAAACTCAGCCCCAGCTGCCTCGTGCTGTGTTTGTCGTGTTGTCTACAGAGGTGCCGCCCCTCTCAAGTTTGTGAGGGCAAGTCCTTCCTGTCATCTGATCTTCGTTTCTCTCCGTAGGTGGGCTGTGTGGGTTCTCCCCTTCCCTAGGGGGGCCCTTTTCTTCTTCCATTGGTATCATGTATTTTCTGGGTTGGGGTGAGGAGAAGAGGCTTGTCCGCAACAGGGTAGTTGAAGGTCAGGCAGTGTGAAGGACTAAGCAGCTTTTTGCATGCTTGGGGCAGAGGTCAAGTTCCTCTGGAGGGGAGCAAAGGGTCCGGCCTCCTGTTACAGCACAGGAGATGAGAGATGGGATGATCTCAGCGAGAGCTGGGTTTCTGGGAGTTGTGATTCGTCTAATTATAATGTCAGGGACAGAGGCTAAGTCACCTGGAGATGTAAGGGTGCTGCTGGGAGAGAATGAGGCTTTCTTCCTGGGATCTGAGAGATGAGCATGGACAGGGGTGGTGGTAGAGCTTCTCTGCCCCTCTGGAAATCACAGAGGAAGTTATCAAAGCACGCTGCTGCCTTTGAAGATTAATGCAACCTCTCTGGTCTGCAATGCTGCTTGCAAACCAAGGTAGAGAAACTCCAGTCCTGCTAAAAGAGTCAGAGGTGGTCGAGTCCATTTTTCCATCCCGACTACTAAGGTCTAGCTCTGGGCAGGGCGTTGGACCCTACAAGCAGGAAGTGGCTTCCTGTCCAGCTACCTCCCCTGAACTGGAGACTTCCCCAGGATGGTGAAGCTGAGCCTCTTTCCTAGACTGGGACATCGGTGGATATGTACGTGGCTAGGAATGTCAATCCGTTTACCTCCTCTGTTTCCTCTACCCCTCTTCCCAGAAGGTGTCTCCAGACTGAATGGAACTCAGGCAGCCAGCACCTTTTTCCAGTTAGCGTAGTTGGTGGTTAGGGGCACTGACCTCGGGCCAAGACACCCAGATTCAAATCCTATCTCTTCCTCTCACTAGCTGTGTGACTTTGGGCCAGGAACTCAACCTCTTTGGTCCTGTGAAATGAAGATGATCATAGTATTTATCTCATAAAGTTTTCTCTGAGGATTAAAGAAGCTGGTGATTTGAAGCCCACAGAACAGTATATGTTCTTTCTCTCCACCCACCTCTGTCCCTCGGGGTTTTAAAAACCACAGCTTGGATCTCAAGGAACATCCAGTCAGCCCAGAGCCCTGGACACCAGCCACTGGTGAGTTAGAGGGAGGGACTCCATCTCTGTTCCCACTGGCCCCCTTCTCTCTCTCAACTCACTTCTCCCAGCCCGTTTTCCTGCTCTCTTGGTTTCACGTCTGTGTGTCTCCCTCACCACTGTCTCCTCTACCCCTTTTCTCTTTGTCTCTCAATCTTTGTGTGTCTCTGTCTCTCTGTCTGATGTCTGTCAATATTATCTCTGTTTCTATCCCTCACTCTGTTCTGACTCACTCGCCTCAGCTCTCTCTCTATTTCATCCCGCTTCCTCACTTTTCTCCCCCCATCTTGATCCAACCCCCGCTTCTCATTTTTCCCCTAGTTCAGACTCCCTCACTCCCCTGTCTCCTCACCCCCCTTTTTTGTGTGTTTCTCTTCCCTTCTCCCTTCCTGTTTTTCGCAGGCTTTCTTTTGGTCGCTGTCTCTTAATCTTTCATTTAACAAATATTTATGCAGCACTTACTATGTGCCAGGCCTTATTTTAAGCACTGGGGACACAGCAGGGAACAAAACAGGCAGAAATTTCTGCTCTCAATGGAGCTGACATATCAGTGAAGAGACGGACAAGAAATATAGATGGATAACTTAAGTATATGTTATTACTATCAGGTAGTAATAAGCACAAAGGAGAAAAATAATCAGGGCATAGGGGATAAGGAGCGATGAAGTTGCTGGTTACTGGCTAGAAGCCTAAGAGAAGTGAGGGCAGGACATGCAGATCTTGGGAGAAGAGTGCTCCAGGGATCCGGAACAGCAAGTGCAAAGGCCCTGAGGCTGAAGGTGCTTGGGCTTGTTCAAGGAACAGCAAAGAGGTCAGTGTGGCTGGAGCAGAGTGAGTGAGAGAGGGAGGGCAGGAGAAGGTTGGGGGAGAGAGAATGGGGGTAATTTGTGCAGGGCCCCATGGGACAGGGTGAGGACTTTGAGTGAGGTGGAGAAGTGGGAGGCTTCTGAGCCCGACATAGGTGTTAACAGGATCCTCCGACTGCCACGTGGGGAATGAACTGCAGGGAACGGGGGTGCAAGCTGGGAGCCCAGTAAGGAGATCACAGCCGTAATTCAGGTGACGGATGATAGCGGCTAGACCAGGGTGGTGATGGAGAGGCGAGGAGAGATGGGTGGTCAAATTTGTGTGTATGAAATACCCATGGCATATAAGTTACTATTTTAACCATTCTGAAGTGGACAGTCACCACCATCCATCAGTCTGACAGCTGTGAAAGGGGAGAGGGAAAGAAGGACTGGGTCAGAGGAGCCTTTGGCTGTACGTCTGGGGGGTGGGGGTGGGGTGTATGTGTCTATGGGGCGGTCTTTGAGCAAAGGTTGCCCATCAGAAGAGTCCTGGGTGGGGCTGCAGTGGGCTGGCACTAGTACCCACTGTGTTCTCTCATTGGGAGCTGCCCAAGGGAGGCGCGGCCTTGGCACCAATGAGGTGGGGTTGTCAGACAGCTGTGCTGTCAGCAGCAGGATCTCTTAAAGGGAGATCTGAGCAGCGCCATTCCATGGCCACCACAGGGATCTAACTGTTTCTAGTTCTTTCTGGCCTCATCCCCAAGCGGCTTCACCTGGTGCCCGCAGATCCAGGAACCTGTGAGCTCCTCATTCCCATCCTAAAGAGAGGGAGGCCTAGTCCCCTATTGATGAGCCAAAAGGCTTGTGTTCAGTCTGATTGGATCAGCTTGGGTCACATGACAACCCCGGAACCAATGCCTGGCTGAGGACCAATCAGGACCTACTGGTGGATCTGGCCAAAGCCGGCAGACGTGACAAATCCTCAGCCAAACTGCAAGGACTGGGGCTACCAGGAGGGGGCGCCAAAGAGCCGCAGTCCTCCAGGATCCTGTCGTCCTCCCCCACGTCCAAGTTGAAGTCGAAAATTTACAACAATCAGATCAGGAGTATAGGTAGATGACGTGTGAAAGGGCTGCCGATAGAATCCCCTATCCCTTATACGTAATTCCGAATTCCAAAAAGCTCTGACAACCAAAAAAAAAGTTTCCTCAGGGGGTCATTTTGGCCCAGTCTCACATGGCGGCAAATCAGCTAATATGCGTTCTTAACACTATTTATCTCCGTTGGTGTGAATTTTCACACATTTTGCTGCAAATATATTAACATGTCTGATGGAGCAGGGTCTGCTTCAATCCCCTGGGAGCGTTACATAATATATGGCATTCGCTCAGAATTACCTTTCTAAAATTGGAACAGTTCTGAGTTCTGAAACGCATCTGTCCCCAAAGACTTCAGCTAAGGGATTGTGGACCTCTAATTGGGCACGCTGCCAAACCTAGATTTATCTTAATTATTTGTTCAACGTTTATTTAATGGCTTTGGGAAGAAACTCATTTTCCATTACGATCTTTTTTTAAAGATAGAGAATGACGTTCATTTACTAAATCCCTTTTGTTAACGATATGCTATTTTTAGTGTGTGTGTGTGATATGCTACTTTAGTGTGAAAGTGTGTCTGTGTATGACTATATGAGTGTGTCCATGTGTGAAGCTGTGTCTGTATGTGTGTGAAAGTATTTCTGTGTTTGTACATATGGGGGTCTGTGGAGAGATGGTGTGTGTGAGTGTGTGTTTGATCTTGTCTGTGTGTCTGTGACTGTGTGTGTTTGTGAGCATCTAGTTATGTCTGTATGTAATTTTGTGTGTGTGCATGTGACCGTGGATCTCCGTGTGAATGTCTGTGTGTATGTGTGTGAATGTGCAGGAGAGGAGACATGGTTCACGGTTTAATGTTAATATGCTGAAATAAAATCCTCATTTCTCGCGACCATCTCTGCTTCTGTCTTAGAATTTCAGCGAACTCCACAAAATGACTCAAATTTTGCGCTGTCAAGCAATACCTTATACTTCCACTAGAGGTCGCCTGTCCACCTGGGCCAGAAGAAACTAATTCCTGGGAGTTTGTAGATCCTTGCAGAGAAGTGCCAGGGACAGCTAGCTCAGACTTGTCTCAGCTGCACATAGAGCAGCAGTTCTCAAACTTACTGGTCTCAGGATTCTTTTACACCCTTAAAAATTCTTGATAACCCAAAGAGTTTTTTTGTATGTGTGTTATATTTATCAATATTTAAGCATTAAGCGGCTTCCCTGGTGGTCCAGTGCGTAAGAGTCTGTGCTCCCAATGCAGGGGGCCAGGGTCCGATCCCTGGTCGGGGGGGGGGGGGAACTAGAGCCTGCATGCATGCTGCAACTAAAAGCCCGCATGCCTCAGTGAAGATCCCGCATGTCGCACCTAAGACCTGACACAGCCTAAATAAATATTTTAAAAATATATATTTAAGTATTAAGATTGAGAAGTTAAAAATTATTTAGTAAGTCATTTAAAAATAACCATGATAAATCCATTGCGTTTCTGCAACGGTTTTATTGTGGTAAAATGTACATAACATAAAATTTACCATTTTAACCATTTTTAAGTATACAGTTGAGGGCTTCCCTGATGGAGCAGTGGTTAAGAATCCGCCTGCCTAATGCAGGGGATATGGGTTCGAGCCCTGGTCCAGGAAGATCCCACATGCCGTGGAG